ATCGGCATCATCAACACCGTCAGCATCAACATCAGCATCGTCATCGTATGCATCACAATCATCATCATCAGCATCAGCATCATCATCATCCTCACCATCGCCATCACCATCACTATCACCATCATGAGCATCATCATCACCAGCATCATAAGCATCATCATCAGCATCAACAGCATCGTCATTACCATCACCACCATAATCAGAATCGTCATCGTCATCACCATCATCATCATCATCATCAGCAGCAGCAGCATCATCAGCCTCGTCAGCATCATGATCAGCAGCAGCATCAGGCTCATCAACATCAGCAGCCGCATCATCATCAGTACCAGCACCAGCATCAGCATCGTCATCAGCATCAGCATCAGCAGGTGCAGCAGCAGCATCAGCATCAGCATCGGGATCATGATCAGCATCAGCAGCAGCAGCAGTAGCTCAATCGCCACCAGCACCATCACAACATCATCATTATGATCATCATCAGCAGCATCAGCAGCAGCATCATCATCAGCACCAACATCAGAATCATCATCATGATCATCATCATCAGCATCATCACCATCATCAGCAGCAACAGCTTAGTCATCATCATCATCATTACCATCAGCATGATTACCAGCATCATCATCACCACCACCACCATCATAATCATCATCACCATCATCATCATCATCATCATCAGCAGCAGCAGCAGCATCATCATCATCATCATCATCATCATCATCATCATCATCATCATCATCATCATCATCATCATCATCATCATCATCATCATCATCATCATCATCATCATCATCATCATCATCATCATCATCATCATCATCATCATCATCATCATCATCATCATCATCATATCATCGTCATCATCATCATCATCATCATCATCATGATCAGCATCGTCATCGTCATTGTCATTGTCATCGTTATCGTTATCGTCATCGTCATCCCCTCATCCTCCTCCTCCTCCTCCTCCTACTCCTTATCATCTTCAGCATTCGCAGCATCGCCATCATCATCAACATCATCAACATCACCCTGCACGGTGAAACTCTGTCTACACACGGCCACGCACACGTTGAGCTCCCCCACTCCTCCTCCTCCTCCTCCTCCTCCTCCTCCCTCCTCAACTCTCCTCCTCCTCCTCCTCCTCCTCCTCCTCCTCTCCTCCTCCTCCTCCTCCTCCTACTCCTTATCATCTTCAGCATTCGCAGCATCGCCATCATCATCAACATCATCAACATCACCCTGCACGGTGAAACTCTGTCTACACACGGCCACGCACACGTTGAGCTCCCCCACTCCTCCTCCTCCTCCTCCTCCTCCTCCTCCTCCTCCTCCTCCTCCTCCTCCTCCTCTCTCCTCATCCTCCTCTCCTCCTCCTCCTCCTCCTCCTCCTACTCCTCCTCCTCGCTCCTCCTCCTCGTCCTCCTCCTCCTCCTCCTCCTCCTCCTCCTCCCCCTTCTCTGTACCATGGTGCTTCGAGGGCTGCGCGCGCGCCGTCTCGAGACGGCGCCAACACTTCGGCGCGCGTTTCGCGCGATAGAAGCGCCAGAGCAAGCAGCGGCCCCGCCTGGCCCTTCTCCAGGTCCTGGGGCGCTCCTCATGCTCCTCCTCCTCCTCCTCCTCCTCCTCCTCCTCCTCCTCCTCCTCCTCCTCCTCCTCCTCCTCCTCCTCCTCCTCCTCCTCACTCCTCCCTCCTCTCCTCCTCCTCCTCCTCCTTCCTCCTCCTCCTCCTCCCTTGTCCTCCTTGTCCTTGTCCTCCTCCTCCTCCTCCTCCTCCTCCTCCTCCTCCTCCTCCTCCTCCTCCTCCTCCTCCTCCTCCTCCTCCTCCTCCTCCTCCTTCCTCCTCCTCCGTCCTCCTCCTCCTCCGTCTCCTCCTCCTCCCCCTCCTATCCTCCTCCCCCTCCTCCCCCTCCTCCCCCTCCTCGCCCTCCCCCTTCTCCTTCTCCCCCGAGGCTCCACAGATCGATCGCGTCGCGAGCTGCTCCTGCGGCGAAGGTTGGCCGCGAGTTCCCTAGGCCTCCACGGACTCCAAAACGTCGGGCCCAGGACAGCCCAACACCCACCCAGGGTGAAGTGCTGGTCCCAGGGAGGGGTCAAGAGGTCTGGGGCCCCAAGACTCGACAAGATCGAGCCCCGAGCCTCGGAAATGATGTCGCGTCTCCGGAGGTATGGGTTTGCAAGCAACGGGGCCCCGCAAAAGAGGCGACGGCAGCGCGGAATTTGAAACTATCGCGGGAACGGCCTGCGCGGTCTGCTGCCGATGGCGCCACAGACGCCTCTGCAAGGACCTCCGCCGCGAAGCTCTGCGTGGCGGTGTCCGACGTCCGACGGGAGCGAGCGGGGGCCACGAAGGGCATTCGCATACGGGGCCACAAAGGGCGGCAGCGGGGCCACTGAGGGCAGCAAAGGGGCCACGAAGGGCAGCGAGGGGGCCACGAAGGGCGACAGCGGGGCTACGAAGGGCATGCGTATGGGGCCGCGACGGGCGCGTGCGAGCGGGGTCCACGAAGGGCATATAATGCGGGGCCACAAAGGGCAGCGACGGGGCCACTGAGGGGCCACGAAGGGCAGCGAGCGAAGGCGACCGCGGAACCAGTACGGGCAGCGAGAAGCATCGAAGGCGGGCGAACGGGCAGCGAGCGGCGACTGCAGTCATTAACGGGTTGGTCGGGCGGGCAGGCCCCGACGGACGGGTCGAGCGGGCGGGTCGTTGAAGCGTGAGTCTTGCTTGAACCACGAGGCAAGATGTAGCGGGGGCGCGATTCCTAAGTGTCGAGGACCGGCATCTGGATAAATTGTGAGGAAACATCAAGGGAAGCGGTTCGGTGGCAAGTTGCGAGGAAGTCCCAAGCGAGAACGCGATTCTATAATACGATTCTTTTCATTGTCAGGAAGTTTCAGGCGGGAGCCGCGGTTCGGTGGTAAATTGCAAGGAAGTCCAAAGCGAGAGCGCGATTATTCAATAAATTGTGCGGAAGTCTCAGGCGGGAGCCGTTGTAATTGTTTCCCGGGGGAGCAACAACGCAGTTTGACCCAGACAAAATTGGGAGGAAGTCTCAAGCGGGAGCGCCGTTCCTAAGTCAATTGGGAGGAATTCTCAGACGGGAGGGGGGGGGGTCCTGAATAAATTTGGAGAGAGTCTCAGGCGGGAGCCGTTGTTGTTGTAGTCTGGGGGGGCAGGGGCCCAGTTTGACCACCAAGACTTTCCCTGGAAAAAACAGGGTGCGAGTGTCGAGGGGCATACTTTGACTGGGGAAACAGTATGCACCGGTGAAGGGGGATCAACGATAATTATTCTCCAGAAATGAGAGTTCAACAACAACAACAACAACAACAACAACAACAACAACAACAACAACAACAACAACAGCAACAGCAACAGCAACAGCAACAACAACAACCACAGCAACAACAACCAAAACAACAACAACAACAACAACAACAACAACAACAACAACAACAACAACAACAACAGCAACAACAACAACAACCATTTTAAGGCTGTACGCTCTTACTTGCCCGCGAGTCATTCAACACGTATACCCTACACCCTTGATGCCCGCCTATTCGTCTTCGATCACACCCCTTTCGGGGGGATTATTTCTCTTTGCTGGGGCCGGCGGGCTTAGACGTACGGGCAAACCGGAACGGGCGGACAATCCTTCGGGGCGTACATCTCTCTGCCCGCCATTGGAATTGGCGCGGGCCCTGCAAGAGGAGGAGGGGAAGAACGAGGGAGAGTGGGAGGAAGGGGAGGGGGAAGGACGAAGGAAGAGGGAAGATACCACGTTGTGAAGGCGTCCTTGGCGCGTGCGTGGTTCCTGAGCGCCGAAACGCAATTCCAGAATAATTTGTGAGGACGTCGCACGCGAGAGCGCAGTCCTGAGTACATTGTGAGGAAATCTCGGGCGGAAGCGGGGGCCCTGACTAAGTTGCGAGGAAGTCTCAAGCGGGAGCGCCGTTCCTGAGCAAATTGCACGGAAGTCTCAGGCGGGAGCGGGGGTCCTCACTAAATTGCGAGGAAGTCTCAGGCGGGAGCGCCGTTCCTGAGTCAATTGCGCGGAAATGTCAGGCAGGAGCGGGGGTCCTGAGTAAAATTCGAAGAAGTCTCAGGCGGGAGCGCCGTTCCCACGTAAATTGCACGGAAGTCTCAGGCGGGAGCGGGGGTCTTGATTACATTGCGAGGAAGTCTCAAACGGGAGCGCCTTTCCTGAGTAAATTGCGCGGAAGTCTCAGGCGGGAGCGGGGGTCCTGAGTAAAAATCGAGGAAGTCTCAGGCGGGAGCCGTTGTTGTTGTAGCCCGGGGGGCAGGGGCACAGTTTGAGCAGGAAGACTTTCCTTGAGAAAAAACAAGGTGCGAGCCCCGGGGGTGGCACTTCAATCGAAAAAAATCAATGTGCACCGGTGGGGGGGATCAATAATAGTTATTCTTCAAGAATGAGAGTTCAACAACAACAACAACAACAACAACAACAGCAACAACAACAACAACGACGACGACGACGACGACAACAACAACAACAATAACAACACCAACAACAACGACAATAACAACAACAGCAGCAACAACAACAACAATAATAGCAAACACAACAACATCAATAACAATAGCAACACGAACAACAACAACAATAACAACAACAGTAGCAGCAACAACAGCAGCAGCAGCAGCAACAACAACAACAACCATAGCAACAACAGCAACAACCACAAAAACAACAATAGCAGCAATTACAACAACAAAACTGGCAATACATCATACAATGCGAAAAGAAGTACCGAAAAACAACAAAACAAGCACAACAAAACGCACCAACAAAAATTAGCATGACATCCTTGTGTGTGCCAAGTCGTTGGAGGCCTGCCATTTTGCGTATTCGCGCTTCCAAAATTGATGCTGCCACGACTGACGGATGGCATCCTGTCAAAACTGCCGCCGCCTGGTGTCTTGGTGGCGCCCTCCGACGACACTCTCCCCGCGCCCTGGCGGGGGGGGCCATCCTCGAGCTTCGGCCCAGGCAGCGCTGGGGCGGGGGCAGGAGGCGGAATCTCTGGCCTCGGCCGCCGGCGACCGCCGCCCTCGCCCTCGCCCTCGCTGTCGCCGCCGCCGCCCTTGCCACCGCCGCAGCCGCAGCCACCGCCCTCACCCTCGCCCCCGCTGCAGCCGCTGCCCTCGCTACCGCAGCCGTCGTCGCCGCGGCTGCCATCGCCCTCGCCGCCGCCGCCGCCATCGCCCCTCGCCCTCCCCCGCTGCCGCTGTTGCCGTCGCCATTTCCCCTCGCCACCGTCGCCGCCCTCGCCCTCGCCCTCGCCGCTGCCGCCGCTGCCGCCCTCGCCGCAGTCACCGCCCTTGCCGCCCTCGCCATCGCCGCCGCCGCCGCCGCCCTCACCTTCGCCGCCGCCGCCGCCGCCGCCCTCGCCGCCGCCGCCGCCGCCGCCGCCGCCCTCGCCACCCTCGCCGCTGCCGTCGCCGACGCCGTCGCCGCCGCCGTCGCAGCCTGCGTCGGCGCCACCTCTCTGGCCCTGGCGTCCGCCGCGCCACGGCCGCGCCGGTCGGAGTGAGTTGCTCCACGCCCCCGAGTCCAGAATCGAGGATCGAGGAGATGGCAAAGGATCGAGGATGGAGGATCGAGTCCGGCATCGAGGAGGAGGAGGAGGATCGAGGAGAGGGCAACGATCGAGGATTGAGGCTCGAGTCCAGGATCGACCGCCGATCGCGTACGGCGGCGGCCCGGCGGCCGATGGGTGCCCCTCGAGGTGATCGGCACAGGCCGCGCAGGCGCGAAGGCGGAGCAGCGGGCCTCGGAGGTCGATCTGGGCCAGCCGGGGAGGGGGCTCACCCGCAGCGGGTGTGCACCAGGGGCTGCGAGCGGAGCGGGCACGGGCGGGGCGGGCACCCTTGGCGGTGAGCATCTGCTGGGCCAGATCCCGATCGACGGGCAGCCACGGTCCAAGACCGCCTCAGATCATGAAGCAACACGGCGTCCAGCTTTCGCGATGTGTGGCCTCTGGGGGCCCTCACGGGGCCTCGGAACCGTCAGAAAATGGCGCGGGATGAAAACCGAGTCCTGGGGAATGGGTCCAGGCCTCTGGAGGTCGACGTTACGGAAAAAAAGACGTCGGGGGTCTGGAGTGAGAGCCTTCTCTCATCTAGTCTGGCAAATATACTTGCACGATTCGGGCAAGTTTACTTTCTTGGAAATTGCCTCCCCACCCCCCTGGCCGCTTTTCACTCAATGCTGGGACGGAAACGCGTGACAGCAACTCTCGTCTTGCATAATCTCCACTTTCCCCTAAGGGGCTTGCTGGAGAGCCTCCCCCACTCAAGCAACCTTGCCAGAATCGGATGAAAAATAACTGTGCGGGGTTCACACTTCACGCGTGGCTGGTGTGAAACCTCCACCGGGCGCCCACATCGAGCTCAGACGTCCCTGCACGGCCGAAAGCGCCATCCGGACGCCGAAGATGGCGAAGCTTGTCCTCAAAACCCAGACTTCTGGCGCCGAGAATGAAAAACAAAAAAAAGGGGCCCAAGGACACACAAATAGATAGGCACACATCCCAGGATTCCCCGTATGTGTTTCAAATATGTTAGATGTTCGTCTTCCCCACCAATTCCAACATGTTCCAATAGTTTCCTGGGAGTCAACGATTAATTGTGTCTGTGCTTTTCCCCTCCTGAAAAAAATCCACAGAGGTCTCGCACTTCTCCCAGTGTACGGGCCACCCAGACAGCGAAACTCGGAAAACAGAAGAAGAAAAAAAAACGCTGCGATGCTTCTCTCGCAACCAGAGGAGGGGTGCGAACGCCAGCATTTTGGGGCAGGGAGGGCGTGGACGAAGAAGACAACCCTTCCATGCGACCACCACTGGGCGTGGACTTACCCGGATCAGCATAAACCCGGCTCAGCCAGGGTAGAAAACACTGGGAGGGGGGGGACGGGGGGGCTTCGCGAACCCGGCCCAGCCAAAATGCAGGGCCACCTCCAGGGCCGCAAGCGGCCCCCAAACCTGGCAGTCAACATCTGCCCCTACAGAATCCTGCAGGATCTAACGCTCCAGCTAAGCCCCGTTCCCAGACCCCCAACGTCATGCTTTGGTTCACGACGTGGACCCCTTCCCAGGAACCCGTTTTGCATCCCAAGTCGTGTTTCGACTGTCCCTGGGCCTGGTGAGGGCCCCAGGAGGCCGAAAATAGCAACAAACTCCCGTCGTGATTGTTTCACGACGCGAGGAGGTCGGGGTTTGCGCTGAACCCCGCCACCTGCCCGCTGAGACTGGGCGCGCCAGCGGCCACCAGGCCGCACCCACCGGCCGACGCTGAAGAGGCGGCGACGCCGGCGACGCCGGCTAAGGATGCACCGGCGACGCTGGCGTGGAGAAAGCCAGGCTCTACACCGAGGCGCACCGCCGATGCATCGGCGACGCGGCCCGACGCGCCGACGCCCTCCACTCGGACCCCGCTTGGGAGGCCGCGGGGACGAGGAAGAGGACCCCTCCGGGCGACCAGGCGCGCCAGCTGACTACCTACCAGACCACCCCAACCCAACCCGAAGACCCGAATTTCGGGTTGGGGGGGGGTAAGGGTTCCATACTTGTTTTGTTCGATGTTTCCCGACCCCCCCCCCCCACTAGAAATCGAGGGTAAATCTGAGCCTTCGGGTTGGGTTGGGGTGGTTTGGTGGGTGGTGCCCAGCGGCGAACTGCCGCCATCAGCCGACGCTGAGGGGCCTGCTCCGCCGCCGGTGCGCGCGCGGCCTTCTGTGCGGGCGCGGGCTCGGCGGGTCTCTTCGACGGCGTCGAGGCGGAGGCCGCGGCTGCGGCCGCGGCCTGCAACGGGGGGGCGGCTCGCTCGCCTCGGCACTCGGATCGTGGAGGCAAGCTTCCCTTAGAGCCTGGCGACTCCATGTTTTCGAGCCGGACGTGTTCGCCAAACTTCGGGCCCGGGGGCCCTCACGGGTCGGTCCGGCTCGGAGAGTGGCGCAGAGAGATGGTGTCTAGGGCTCTGGTCGCGATGTTAGGGGGCCACATGCGAACCCTACCCCTACCCCCCACGATTTCTGAGGGGGAGGGTGGGGTTCGCTTCGTTCGGGAGCTCCCGATCGAAGTGTCCCCCTAGATGTCACACCATGTTTCAATATTTCCAGACGGTCACGGCGGCAAGCTTCCACGAGCGGCAAACAGCTCCGTATCCGCGCCCTCGCGGTCTGGACTCTGGGGCGCGATCCCGCGGATACGCGGTCGCGCGGATGCGGTCCGCGCGGGGCACCCGCGAAAGCAAGACGTCGCGCATCTGCGGGGTCGTGGATGCGGATATGCTCTTCGCCCACGAAGCTTCTTGAGGAAAGGCAGTGGGATTTTCGGTTCAAAAACATTGCGCCTTCTGGGGGGGAGGAAGAATAGGACAGGGAGGAAGAGGAGGAGGAGGAGGAGGAGGAGGAGGAGGAGGAGGAGGAGGAGGGGGAGGAGGGAGGAGGGAGGAGGGAGGAGGAGGAGGAGGAGGAGGAGGAGGAGGAGGAGGAGGAGGAGGAGGAGGAGGAGGAGGAGGAGGAGGGAGGAGGAAGCCATTTGGCCTCTTGCGGGCCAGCCGATCCCGATCGATCCATCGGGGTCGGTCGGCGCCTGCCGCCCGATCGATCGCGGTGGCAGGGCGCATCGCGCATCGGCCAGCCCCCGAGGCTGGGCTCACGCGCGCCGCGCGCCATCATCTGCGGCAGGGGGCCATCCGTGCCTCCATGTTCCCTGCCGCAGGCCGCGGCGCTGGCGGCCGCGCTGCGGCCCAAGCACCCCAGCGGCGGGACGCCGCGACATCGTCGAGGAGGAGGCCCAGAGGGAGCTGCCCACCGCCGCGAGCGGCAGCAGAGAGCCCAGGACAGGTTCCTGCTCCGCTTGCGAGCCGCGGCTGAGCGCCTGGCCGCCCACCGCTCTGCCCAGCCAGCGATGGCTCGTGACGGGAAGGGCAGAGGCAGCGGTGGCCGCAGCGGCAAGGGCCAGGCTCAGGAGGAGGCAGCACCATCAGCAGCGCCACCATGGCGCCAGGAGCGATGGCATGGCGCGGGCTGGCGAGAGCAGCACTGGAACGCCGAGCCAGCAGGTGAGGACCCGCCCTGGCGCAGGGAGCCGTCGCGGCCACGACGCTCTGGCCAGGCCAGTCCTCGCCCCTGGCAGCAGCAGCAGCAGCAGCAGCAGCAGCAGCAGCAGCAGCCCAGCCAGCACCCCTGGCAGCAGCAGCAGCAGCAGCAGCCCAGGGCGAGCAAGGGTGGCCAGGCCAGCTCCAGCAAAGCGGACCAGCGAGCTCAAAAGGTCATCGACTCTGTGGCGGCCTGCACGCTGGACGAGGCCACCACCCACCCAAAGTGGCAGGCGCCTCCAGCCGACCGTGCAGGCATCCAGAAGTTTCTGAGCAGCGCCGATCAGAGGCTGAGGAAGCTTGGCGACCTGGTCATTGCCAAGCAGGCGGCGGGTGACAGCACGAAGGAGCAGTTGATGGAGATCGCTGTCATCAAGTATCAGAAGCTGGTCACGAGGAGGCCGAACGACCAGCTGCAGGTGCTCAGCAAAAGGCGCAAGGCCCTCAAGCTGGAAGTCACCGCTCTCGAGACCAAGATGAACGAGCTGCGGGACGACCTCAAAGCCAAGCAGCAGGAGCTGAGGCAGGTCGAGTCCAACATCGCCGACGTACGTGCTGTGCTCGCCGACGGCGGCGCGGCAGACGACGAGGGCGACTGGAACACGGACGGGTTCGGCTTGGCGCCGAGCTGGGATACGTTCCACAACGCCGTGATCGACAGGCGCCTGAACAGCGAGGCTCCTGGGGACGGACCTCCAGCTTGGCCAGCGGGAGCGCCGGGGCGCACGCCACGCTCAAGAGCCAGCTCGGCAGGCAGCGCAACCACAGGCTTCGCTGATCAGGTGGCTAAGGCGAACGCGGAGCGAGCGCATCAACAGCATCGCCATGCCGAAGCCGAGCAGGAGTTCGCTGCTGAGCTGGCGGAAGTCAGGAGGGTCGCCCGCGAGCAGGCATTCCGCCACAACGCCGGGCAGGCGAAGCTCAGGCTGGCCCTGAAGGAGGAGTCAGAGCAGCTGCAGCGCACCACCGAGGCGGAGAACGTAGCGCAGCAGCTGCAGCAGCAGCAACACAAGGCTCTCCGCCACGAGCTCAAGAAGCAGCAATCTGAGCAGCTTGAGTTCGCGACGCAGATGGAGGCCAGGTTGCTCAACCATGACGCAGCATTCAGCCAAGTCAAGTCTGAGGCCGAGGCGGCGACCCAACGTGCAAATCACCTGCGAGAGCAGCTCGAGTGTGCCCGTGCGGAGCACCGCGCACAGCCACAGCCCCAGGATAAGGTCTACCAAGACCTAGTGCGGGCACGCGCCGAGGTGCAGGAGGCATGGCGGCAGGCCCAGCACGAGAACGCCAAAGCGACAGCTGCAGCTGGCACTCTCAGGCAGCAGCTCATCAGGCAGGAGGTGGTCATGGAGGAGAAGCTACAGGAGGCCAAGAAGGACCATATGCTTGAGCACGAAGCTGCCACTGAGTCAGCCAGGGCCCAGGCAATTGCCCAGGCCCAGGTGGTCGCCAACGCCAAGGGAAAAGGAGCCCTGCCGCCGGCAGAGGCGGCCAGGCTGCAAGGGATCGTCCAGACCGCAGCACGGCAGCAGGATCGGCTCAAGCAGACCAGAAGCGAGCTCGAGGCAGCTGAGGCCCGCATCCACGAACTCCAGCAGCACTCCAAGCTTGAGGCAGGGGCGGCACAGCGTGCAGTCCAGGTCGCCTACCACGAAGCAGCGGAGCTTAGGAGTGCCAACGAGGAGCGGCAGATCCCGCACGAGGTGCAGGCACTGCAGTACGCCCTGCTAAGGACCAGAGCAGAGGAGGAGGAGATAGCGAAGGCCAGTCTGAAGGATAAGGAGGCAATGCGGGCGGAGCTTGAAGGCAGTGCTGAGCAAACACGGTCGCACCTCACCCGCCAAGTCATGATAGAAGAAGCGCACGCACATGACTTGCAGCTGCATACAGAGAGCCTGCGACAGGAGCTGAGCAGCTACGCGGTGCAGCTGAGCGAGCATAGGTCCAACGCGGAAGTGCAGGAGCAGGCGCTGGAGGAGGAGCTCGCCCAGGCCCTCACCTTCAGGATCGCCAGCATGGAGGAGGCCTCCGCCATGGAAGCCTTCGCCAGCCAGCAGAGGACCGGCAGGGAGGAGGCCATTCACCTCGCGCTGCAAGACAGCCTCCAGCGCTCCCGTACGCTGCACACCGAGCTCGACGCCATCGCGCAAAAGGAGAAGCATGGCGCATCCGAGACAGAGGAGTTAAAGCTAAGACTGCAGAGCCTGGAAGCCATCGAAGCCAGCAGAGAACGAGAACGCAAAGCCATGGTCGACCTGTACGACGAGATGAGGCAATACGGCCAGGAGGGCTACGACTTCACGAAAAGGGCAGCTCATCACCTCGTCCAAGGGGGGCACCTCCCAACATCCCAAGAGTCCATGGATGACTACCAGGAGGCCGCCGACCTGTACGAGAAGGCCAGATGCACAGCTGAGGCAGCTCCCGCCCCAGCGGTTCCGCCCGCTGCGACCCCTTTCCCAACTGGTGCAGCTGAGGAGCGCCCAGCCAACAGGGGCCGCCGGCAGAACAGCTCCTCGCCTCGGAGGCCCGCATCCGTCAGGTCAGCCAGATCAGCAGCCCGCCAGCCCGATGAAGGCGCTGTACCACGCAGAAAGCGTGATAGGTCCAGGAGCCACGACAGGCCCGACCCGCACGAGGAGGCAGATAGGTACGAGCGTGAACAAGACGATTTGCGAAAGCAAGACGAGGAGGCGAAGGCGCAATGGGAAGCCGCACAGATGGAGGAGGAGCTGGAGTCAGTCGTGAGGGATCACGAGGCGGGGGAGATCCAAAGGCGCTACTACGAGGAGGCTCCAATGACCCAGTTCGGCCCTGGTGGTTCACAAGACTCCCAAGTGGCTGACGACTGCTCGGAGCACGCCCCGATGATCTACCCCACCAGCTGGCCGCCCTGGAGCCAGGACCACCCCACACCCGAGGGGGGTGAGGAGATGAGGGGAGTCACGCAGCACGAGGCAGACACGGACCTGGCCTCCACCTCAAGGGCTAGCTCGGTACCAGCAGAGCAAGGCGACCCTCCCACTCCGACAGCATCCCAGGTGATCTGCATCCCAGCATCGCCAGCGCGCCTCCGAGTGAGAGGTCTCTCACGCCCACAGTACCCATCGGGAATGATGAGCAGCGCGGCCAAGACGGTGGAGAGGGAGCCGACAGCTTCGCACTGACCCCTCCCCCTGCATCCCAGCAGAGTGCGGAGGCGGCAGCAGCCAGCATCGAGAGGCAGTACGAGGGCATCGACATCCTCACGCGCCAGCACACCTCAGCCGCCGCCGCAGCTGCAGCCCTCGAGGAGGCCTTTGGACCTGCGCCAGCATTTCCAGGGGAAGACATCAGCCAGGCCTATGAGGGTCAGCGAGTAGATTCGGGAGAGACAGGCATAGCACGTTTTCGTGGCCGGGTGGCCCGCAGGAGGGACGAGGCAAGGGGCACAGCAACCCCCTCCCCTCCTGCAACTCCTGGAGCCGAGGAGCGGGCAGCAGCAGCACCCGCCGAACCCCGCCAAGGGGGTGAGGCGGCCTAGCAGCGCCGCCAGGCACCAGGATATCCATGACAGAATTCACGGCCAGGAGGCAGCCGATGAGTCCGACAGGGCAGAGCACGACGGATGTGGGCTTCCTTCACGCTCTCCGATCAATTTGACAGCATCGATCTCCTGCGCAGCATTGGGGAGAGCAGCTGGGGCCCAAGGGCTACAGTA